CTCACATGGCAGATAAAACCTACTTCTGGGTATGGAGTATCCATAACCATTTGAATGGCAGAGGAACTTGTACTCACTTAGATGTTCTTGTCACATACAAGCACCTTTCCCAACTGTTAGTTTCAGATGTACAATATTCAGCAGGTAAAGGGAGATAAGCTGTAGTGCATGAGCGCTGAGCAGGCTGACTTTACAAAGCAGGGAATGTCAATGTTAGAAAGGATCATCAAGCCTTCTCATTTTACAGGGAGAAAAATGAGCCAGACACCTCGCTGGGTGTGGCAGAGCTAGGATTAACACCTGGTTTTCAGTTCGTTTGTGGTTTTTGCAGGAGGCCTTCCAATATTCTCCTCCAACCACACTGGTCAATTTCTTTTTCTTCCTTGGCAATAATTGGAATGGTTCTTTCCCTTTATCTCCCCGTTTCTGTCCTTAGACTTTTTTCCCCCCTTTAAACCCACACAGCAGATATAACCTACTTCTGGGTATGGAGTATCCAAACCATAACCATTTGAAAGGCAAAGGAAATTGTATCCTTTAGGTTTAGAGCTTGGCTGTAAAACACAAGATTGCAGATGCAAAGTTAGTAGCAAGATCCTCACAGCCATTCACCAAAAGCCAAGGAGCCCACCTTGAAGAGTACTGTTACCCCCTCATGGATGGCAAAACCCAACTGGAAACAAAGCCAAGGACAGCACCTCACACACATGAACTTTTGCCACTTTTGTATTTTATTGTGGAACTGAGTTTTTTTTTTCCTTTACATCAAATATCCTCAATGGAAGAGGGGATATTGCACACAAATATCATAAAAGCACTACATATTACTTTCACTGGAAACTAATTTTCTACATTAGATATGACTGGATAGGATAGAAGTGATGCAGGAGAATAAGACATAATACCATACACAGCTGCAGACTGACACGAACACCATTCAGAACACGAGAGAGGAGTGTGAAGTGCTTCTCGGCCAGGCTCAGGACCACTTCTTTCCGGGCTGGAAATATCAGGGCTGTGTGCGGCGTGGGAAAGCGTGACTGTGAGCCACCTGCCCAGCGTGTTCTCGAAAGGGCAGCCTCCTCTGAGCCTCTTCCCCGTGGCTCCTGTTTCGGGGAGCTCCAAACAAGTGCAGAGAAGCAGGGTTTTTTTCCCTTTCTTTTCAGTTTTTGATGCTGCCTTTAAAATGAACTTCATAAAGTCACAGATTTTTTTAAATAGTAAATATATTTTAATACCAGGTGAATAACCTAATTGCTTTCAAAGAATGCTCATCCCTAGGCTGCTTTTGGTGTGTTGTTCAGTTGGCGAAAAGATAAAAGCTTGTTTCTTTCCAACAGAAACAGGATCTTTTCTCTTAAATCTAAGTCGCCAAAAAAAAAGTTATCCTAATTCACAATATCACTACTGAGCAGGAACCTCCTGTGACCAGTGACTAAAGAGAGGCAAGAAAAGCAATTCTAGAATTGTAGAGCAGCTCCTGAGAGCTGAAATTTGGTAAAAGAGGGAAAATGAAAGGTGGTAAAATTTCCATTAGCAACTGATTAAATCTTATTAAATGAGTACTGGAAAGCTCCTAAACTTCATAAGCTATTGGAGACACTTAAAACATTCATATACACTGGGGAAACCATTCACTATGATATGTAACATTAAGAAAAAAAAAATCTTTTTTCTTTTGAACTCCATGGAAAATGGTGCTGGGGGGAGGGGGTCATAATTGTATCCAGTCCCACCACAAGACTGAGGAAGCATGCACAGGGGTTGGGGTCTCAAGAAAGGGACAGAATTGGTTAAAATTGAAAATGGGAGGATCATCTATAACATTTAGTCTCTGTAGAATTTTGTTTAAGAACACTACCCAAAAGGTCATGATCATGAGCGCTATCTTGATAGAATCCCATCATTTAAACAGAGTGGAAATTCCTTCCACACAAATAGTCAATCTATACAATCAGATTAAGTAATCGGTATAAACAAAGCTCCTAGAAGTCTGTGTCAATTTTTAGCTTACACCATGAGTGTACATGGTACTCTGTGATGGCAGTTACTAAACTAATTGTGTACTTATGGAACTAGAAAAATTAGGTTAGTCACTCAGGTAGAAGGACAGGAGCAACCTGTAATGCAAATATTGGTTTTCCTGGTATACTCGGGCTCTGTGGCCATCCTTGAGCACAAGAGGTGGAATATGGTACTGACAGATTTCATAGGAAAAAGAGCCAGCTGACCAGTGACAGTTTTTTATATTTTTCCCATTAAATCCCATAAGGGGGAGTGGATTAAGAAATACGGAGTGGGGTAGAGTGATTACAACTGAAGGCTGGCTATAATTCTTCTAAAATGTTTGTATTTTTTAAAGCAAAACAATATACATGGTTAAGAAACTTAATTTGGGAAACTGGAAAATAACTTATCAAAGAAAAATCAACCAGTGATCTAGATTTGGCAAGAAGGCTAGAAATTGTTTCTCTTCCCCACATATTATGTAGACCAATTCAACAGCTAACCATTACATAATTATCTTGAGTATTTTAGCTTTTCTCATGAAAGAAATTAGAAGTGCTTATACTCAATGAAATCCATTTTTGTTACGATCACTTTTCCATCATACGTAAAACTTTTGTGGCCTTAATGTGTTATTTTTAAGGACATGAAAAAATAGGGTAATAAATAAAAACTGTATTCCTAGAGAAGCCTAACAAAAATAGAATATTAATATTCTTAAAAAAATTAGACATTTGGAAAATGTAATTCACAGCATTAAGTAGACTGCACAGGTCCTCAGTGAAGGGACCCTGAAGAAGCATTGTTTAAACCCTCATAGTAGTTAGCAGTGCAAAACATACACATCACAGACAAAAATAAAACTTAAATGTTAAATTGTGAAATAAATAACTAACATAGAAAATAAAATGAGGTCATTGTTCATTACTCCATAGATCTTAAGAGTCTGCAGGAAACATAACGTGACAGAGCACAGGACAGCTGTCACTGAGAAATTTGCCACATCTGAACACTGGGTGCACTGACTGCAACCCGAGACCTGATGTCAGCCACCATCATGATCTGGCTTCCCAGGTTCATGGTTCAGTGATGACAATGATTGACATTATGTAGGAATTCTACATGATGAACTTAGGAGTTGGGAATTCATTTTGTTTTTGAGCTATTTTTTTTTCCAGAAAAGAAAATCCCAAAGCAAATTTGTGCCAGGGTTCTTTTGGACTTGGCTCTTTTACCTCATGGTTGAAGATCTTGAAAGAAGTATGTAGGGTACCACTGGGTGATATACTTGTACAGACCCTGAAACGTAGCCTACCATGTCATTCGCCCCCACTCTCCAATAGCACATACTCAGATTTTTATGTTTTGGGAACCAAGGGGTGGGAGGTATCATTATTCCTGGTAGTTACAGGTTTCTAATAAATATCATTACTGCAATATCAGACGTCCATCTTGCCAGAACCTCAAAAAACATTATTCATTTTTTTTGTCTTATGAAACACTTAAAAAAAAAAAGACTATCACTTGAAAATTTTCTTTGCATTTTCCTGTAAATTAAAACATTTGTTAAAAAGTTCATCTATGAAAAGTTCTCACATAGCTAAAAAAAAATTCTGCTGTACACTTGTTCCCATAATTTTGTTGAAGTTAATGGAAATTAAAAAAGCCAATGTAAGACAAAGGAAGGTAAATACTGTACACTTGCTGAGAACCTCTTCCACCATAAGATTCACTGCTTTCCCAGTTCTGATCACAGAAGCCATTTCAATCTTGAACTTGCAGTAGTAAAGAAGCTACGAAAGGCACAACTTGTTTGACTGAGAGGCCACAGGTGCAATGAAGTGGTATGACTCAGCATCAAACCGTTGGACCAATCAGATCAGCTTCTACTACTACCACACTCGAGCACACATGGGCTCCTTTAACTGGAGTATCTATAATCCTACATGGATGTTTTATAAACTTGCTGTCTCACATTAAAAAATAAGTGCATCAAGTATCTTTGTACATTCAAGTCACTTCCTAAGGCAAACTGTCTACTTTATGTACTCCCAACTGCTTTGGTATTTGCTTCAGTTAACTGGAGTGGACATGGGTGTTGCTGCATGCAGGTTAATTGACTCAGTGTGGACCACGTGGGTGGACAAATGCTGGGAGCATGCCTTAGATCAATTTACGTATGTGGTTAGTCTGAGAGTTCTGAATGGGGCTCGTACCACTTGCATGTCCAGTCTACACTCAACTACATTATGTCAGTGTGCAGTCTTCAAAGTGAAGGAGCTTAATAAGGTGTGAACATCTCACATGCCCTCATAACAAGTTGTTTTGATTTTTTAGCCAAATTGCTTTAGAAAAGTAAGACCTTTTTTGATGACTCAGACTGACAAAAATGGAAAAATTTTTCTATGTAGACTACAGAATACCTACTGCCTGAGAAAATGCAGACTTAACTGTTGGTTTTCTTCTTTTTCCCCCATCCTGCTCTCTTTCTTCTCTCTGGGTATCTCACCAGAACTCTCTACCATTACATCTCCTTCTCTTGCATTCTTTTCTTTCTCATTCTTTATCTCTTTCTTTCTCTCTCTCTCTCCTGAATTCTCTTTGTGCACTCACTCCCTCGCTCCCTCTCTCTCTCTCTTTCTCTCTCTGTAAGACAAATGTCTCTACCTAGCAGAAGTCAGTTGGGCTTGCTAGTGCATGGTTTCCAAATGTTCAGCAGAGATGAACTGGGGTAGGTAATTTTGCAGTATCTTGAACCCTATTGTGGGAATACTGTTACTTCCCTTAGCAATCAGCAAAAACTGAGAAATATTAGTGACTTGCATCACCATGACACAGTATAGCATTTGGCAGGTAATTGTTCAGCGACTTAAGATGAATTAATGTTTTAGAAAAGGTAGTTTCAAATTGAAGAATTCTGGAAACAAAGTTCAAATTCTGTGGTGTGGCTGGCCTTCTTTTTACAGTTCTATCTTGCATGCAGGAAAGGATTCATCTTGCATAACCACCGTGCTGCTGCTTGCTAAAACCATGATGTTGAGGTCTTGCTGTTTCTCATGGGTCTCCTGGTACCATTCCCTCATCACTTCTGAGTCATGAGTTGGGATCAGAGTCACCTGAAGGAAGAGAGAAAACAGCTGTGTAAGGGCAGAGACAGAAACCAGATGAAAAAAATAGAACAAGGTATTAGACCACTAGACAGAGAAAGCTAAAGAAAAATTTTACAACTTCCAATAGACATCCAAAGGATTTTTCAACTTATGTTTTCCAGGAACCAGAATAAAGATGGGAGGAAACTGAAGACTGGAAATAAAAGCAACTAGCTGATTTTATATTAGCTGCTTTTTCAGTTAAGATGCAATTTCTGGTATTTCCTTTAACAAGCTGATAAATTTTGCATGAAAGATAATGCATATTTAATCCAAGGAGTTTTAGAGCCTTCATTGGGTATAACTTTTTTCCCTGAAAACAAAGATTTGTATTTGTAATTCATGTATATGGTTGGCGTTGGAGAAGTGGGGTGTTTGGGTAATGGCTTGAATCGTAAAATTTCCATCTAATATTCTGTAAGAGGTAACTGAGTGCCTTCAATTAGATTTCATAGGATTAAATAACTGTATTTAATATTATGCAAACATAGTTTATTAGGTGGTTCTATGCAGACTCACAAATTAAGTAAGCAAAGATTACAGCTGTAATGGGCTGGCTCATAGCCAGACATGAGGTTTAGGAGTCAGAAGCTTCTTGGGGAGCAATGCTCCTACTATGCAATTTCACCTGCACAGTTATTTTCTAAATCATCGTGTTCCTAGCTTTAGTCTACTCACAAAACACAGAAGAATAAAAACAATTCTCCAGCAGCTCTCCTGTGGAAATATGACCACTTTGATTCTCACACACAATACTCAGTACATTACAGGGAAGGGCAATTAATCTTGGGGCTGTTTTGCAGATGCAGAAAAATGAATGATGTCTTAGATGAGGTGGTTTTCTTCCAAGGCAATGGGTGTTGATGTTATCAAGAATACTACTTTAGACTATCTTCTGTGTGTTAAGCTGACTTTGTCCTCAGGATATTTCATGTGTGACCGATTCAGAAGGCAGCACACATAGACCCATACTCAAAAAGGTGACTTTAGACCCTGGTCCTTCCCCCTGCTTCATTCCCAGGTCAACCAAGGCACAGACACAGTCCTGGAGCTCTTACCTGCATGTTGCTGCCCCACTGAGCCTTCCCTTCCAACAAGGCATCCAGGACAGCCCGGCTGGGCTCCTCGGCAGCAGGGTCGTTCCCACTCACCACATAGTAGGATGACCTCACTCTCTTGAAAAACTCAACATCAACATTCTTACTATTGCTGTGGTTGGGGATGTAGCACAGGTCCAAATACACAGGGAGGCCTGGGGGCACAGTGGAGGACTTGGCCGTTTTTGTGGTTCCTAGTCCTTCAGTGAACAAGGACAAAGCAAGGGTCACAGTAATGTAAACAAACCTGTACATCCAATACGCCTTCCCCCCTGCACCCAATACACCTTCCCCACTGATCCCCAGGCAGGACTTCTGGGACATGCAAAGAGGTGCTGTTAACTTGTAGCCCATATCTGATACTAGCAATCTGTGAAAATATACCATGATTGGTTGTTTATCAACCACGGCCCAAAAGGAGAAGGGAAGAACAGGGTATTTCCATAATAGATAACCCATTAAGAAGTAAGGAGAGTTTCAAGCCCTTTCCAAAAGATGGCACTAGATAATAATACCTCTCGGAAAGAAGCTACTAACATGAGCTTTAACTTGAAAAGTGATCTAAAAAAAGTCAAAAGGAAGAATCTGTATCAGGTAAACCACAGTCAAATGATCTTAGTAATTCACATTAGGGTCTCATCTGATACCAATTTTGTCCATGGTTGATAGTATTTAACCAGTATATACAGTAACTAACATTTGACCTAGTAAATGGTTCAGATCCTAACCCCATGAGATCTCCAACACCCTCAGCACCTCAGCCTCATCCATAACCTGAAGAGACACTGTATTCCTTCCTGTGCTCTCAAGTTGCACACTCACCCCTACAAGGGCTGGACATCAAGTTTTGGTAAAGGAAGGTTCAGAAAGACTGCTTAACCTTATCCAGACATACCCAACTGGGGAAGAAGGCATTTTGTAGCCCAATTTCCCAGCCTAAATCAGGAAGGTCGGGAAAAGCAGAGGTTCAGATGAACCCCAAAGTTTCCTGGCACCCTGTTTGGGGAGCTCACTTGCTTGCTGACTTGTCCCAGTTAGAAGGTTTAGTTTTGGAAATAGTAGAAGTAGCATTCTAGGGCAGTGGCTCTGTTCTCACTGCATAATGAGATTCAGCCTGGATGCTTATGACGCCCAGGCCTCCAGAGTTAGACTTAACTGGGCTGGGAATGGAGAGTGAGCACCACCGCCTTTTAAAAGTATCCAGGTGATTCTGACAGACAGCTAGTTGAGACCTCTGCTGTAAAGCCATTTAAAATGCCAGCTGGACGCTACATGCTTATTGTTCTTTCTTTTCTCCAAGGGATGTTTTAAAAAATCTCATCCCAGAGGCAAAACCACTAGTTAATCCTATCAACTCTACAGTTTTACTATTAGCAGAGTAGGGGAATGGTGAGAATCAGCCAAACTGATACTTGGATAAACTGACTCATTTTATACATAGATCAACAGGATATTTCAGTGATTCTGAGCTTTAAAGCCTTCAAAATATCCATCTGGGGCCCTCCTAAAGAATTGTAATTTGTGAACCAGGTATGGTGGCTCAAGTCCCAGTTATTCAGGAGGCTGTAGGAGGAGGATTCCAAGCTCAAGGCCAGCCTGGGCAGTTTATCAAAACTCTATCTCAAAATGTTTATAAAGGACTGGGATGTAGTTCAGTAGTGGAGCACTTGCCTGGCACACATGAGGCCTCAGGTTTAATTCCTAGCACTGCAAGAAATAAAAATGAGTTTCCATTCTAATAATGAACATGTCTACAACTTTCCCTTGAATACTGAATTACTATCAACACCAAATGACTATTGTTCATAGAAACCCAAGCTGGAAATTGTCAAAAGTCCACTCAGATTTGTTTTTAAAAACAATCACTCAAATTTGCACTTAAAAAAAGCATCTTCAAAACTAAATTAACTCATCTTTGTTACTCTGCCTTTTAAATTATTTCTTCAAATGTCCAAAAGTTTTTTAAAGAAATCAGTTGAGTGGACTAGTGTCCAAGCAGAGTTGCCAACAGGTTTCAGTTGGGTTTTATCTGTTTGGTTTTTATCACCCCCTCCCCCACTACCACCACCACCACCGAGGATCGAAGTCAGGACCTTGTGCTTTCCAGGCAGGCACGGCACCACTGAGCTACATCCCAAGCCCTGTGCTTTCTCCTAAGTGCAGGTCAACTGTCAACCATTTCAGGCCAAGGAGTTAACCTGACCTGGTAGTTTTATGATCATTCTAAGCATGCACAAATTCAGTTTGTTTTCTGTATGTAAAAAGACCAAATCTGATCAGAACATGAGTACTAAAATTGATGCTCCATGCAAAGTAAAAATCTGCAGCTGTAATACCTCCTAAAATGTCCTGAATTTGTGAGCCCCAAAGATTCATCTCTCAGCTTTTCCTTAATAAATGAAATGTTTAAAAAAAGTGGGTTTTCTGTGTATGTTTGAGCCAATTTATATTATTTTGTGAACTATGATCTAAAATCCTTGGAAAGCTGTGTATAGACAAAAAGATGTATTAATGCAAATCCTTGTGAATGACTTAGAGCAACAATACAAAGTTGGGCTAGCAAAGACCAGTTCTGGCCAAAACCAAGTCACTGCTGAGAAACAGATAAATCTGGGAATCGGTGGCAAACCAGGAATGAGCTGAAGTCAGAGATATCTGCTGCTGCCAAGTGGAATTTCAATAGGAAATGGCATTCTGTGTCTCTAGGAGTGTGGGCCTTGAGGTGAGAAAGAAATGAGAAAAGACCTTCAATGATTTCCTCTCGATTTGTACTGGGCATTCACTGGTCAACTGAAATTATGGTATTTGTTAGCTGATAAGAAAACAGAACATTGCCTATTATGGGGATGTACCACCAAAGAGTGATTTTTTTTTTTTTTGGTACCGGGGATCAAACTCAGGACCTTGTGCTTGGGAGACAGGCACAATGCCACTGAGCTAAATCCCCTGCCCTAATGAGTGATTATTTTAAAAAATAAAAATCTTAATTTTTAATTTAAAAATTTTTACTTAAAAGAAAATATTGACCTCTTGGTCTAGGCTCATCATTTCAGGTTTGGCATGGAACCTCTGGTTCTCACTAGGCTTTTGGGAGCTCCTGGCCTATGTCACCCAGCTGCTTTCAGGCCAGCACACCTGAAGCCAGTCTTCCAGAGTAGCCTGAAACACACATCCTAGAACCTGAAGGTTTAGAACAGGGGTACAGGGGGTGCGTTCCAGGACAGTGCAAACCCAGGAATCCTATCCGAACTCATCAAGCTGCACTAGGCTGTATGCTGAGCTAAGCCCAGGCCTGAAGGTCACACTGGACCAAGGTACATACCTTTAGACAGAAGAGATTAGCAGAGGAAAGGGAAGGCATTAATTTGTGTGCCCTCATCTTCCAAGTACAAACAGGGAAATATAATGGCTCCAAGTAAAAGCATGGTTATGGCCTACATCAGAATGCCTGGCATCCCCCACCTACCTGGAGTCGCAGTCTTTACTGACTTAGAGACGTTGGCAGCATTCTTGGTCTCCTTGTCTTTCTCTTCCCCACGTGCAGCTTTGACCTCAGGAGTGCTGGTGGTTTTTGTTGCTTTTTCCACAGCTTCTTTCTTCTTAGGAGAAGCCACTCTGGACACCTTATCTGAAGTTTCTTTCAAGGCCCCTGGTTTTGGGGAAGCTGCTAAGGGTTTGGACTTCCCATCTCCCTTTTTGATAGGTGAGGAGGACTTGGTCTTGGTACCTGGCTTCTTCGTCTTAGTCTTTTCTTTCAAGTCTTTCTTCAGAGCTTTGCCCAGGTTCTGCTCAATGGCTAAGGCCTCTGGGTCCACCATAGTCACATCAGGATGGCGTGGAGAAGGGCTGCGGTCTTGCATAGGGGCCGGAGGTGGGTCCATGTGTTTGTATGTGACCGTTTTATCAGTGGGGATAGTTTCTGACTCATCTTCAGAGTCAATGTTTGCATCAGCTGTAATGGAAGGGCACTCTTCGGTTTCTGGAGGGACATCAGAGTCGGTCTGGGATGGGGCTGACTCACTGACTGAGGTGGGAGGGGTTTCATCGCACTGTCGGCCCTGTTGCTTTCCTCCTGGAGGTGGAGGGGCTCCCCCTAACTGAGT